TCAGCCCCTGCGCCTGCAGCTGCAGCCGCGACTCCCTCCGCTGCAGCCGCTGCTGCTGCTGCTGCTGCTGCTGCTGCTTCTGGCCGAAGTAGAGCCTTCTGAGGGCCGGGGGTAGGGCCCTGGAGGGCCCCCGCTGCGCCAGCAGCGCAGCAGCAGCAGGATGCATGCCCTCCAGCAGCGCGAAAGTTTCTTTTTCTGTTGGTGCTGCTAAAGAAAGACAAAAAACACGAGAAATATAAAATGCTGCTGCTCCCGACAGCAGCAGCTGCCTGAGGGAGTCGAGCAGCCGCTGCTGCTCGAGGAAGCGCTGCAGCCGCGGCGGCAGCCACGCGCGCAGCCCCTGCTGCAGCAGCAGCTGCTGCTGCTGCTGCAGCAACGCCGCCACGAAGCCGCAGCAGCACAGCAGCAGACACACAAACACCGCCCCTGCTGCTGTCCGCAGCAGCAGCGGCAGCAAAGCAGCAAGCAGCAGCAAGCACGCGCCCCGCCACACACTCAGCGGCACCGCGCCGCACAGCTCTGCTGCTGCTGCTGCTGCTGCCGCTGCTGTTCGCTTCCTGCAGCGTTCAAAAGCCTTTCCATCCGCAGCAGCAGCAGCAGCAGCAGATGCTGCTGCAGCAGTTGGCCCGCAGCACTGACCAAGGGGCAGCAGCTCAGCAGCTGTGTCTGCCATTTCGCACACCTTCATTGCGTTGCGTGCTGCTGCTGCTGCTGTTGCTGCTGCTGCTGCCGCAGAGACCGGATCCGCTGGGTCTGAAGCTTTTGCTGCTGCTTTGTAGTGGCACGGGAACGCGGTGAAGTCAAGCCCCTGTTCAGCAAATTGCTGCTGCTGCTGCTGCTGCTGCTGCTGTGGCTGCTGCTGCTCGTTAGTTGCTGCACTGGAGAAGCAGCAGGTGCTTCCATCAAAGTCCTTCGTGGATTCGTAAAAGCTGTTGCTGCTGCTGCTTCTGCTGCACTCCTTATCTGCTGCTGCTGCTGCTGCTGCTGCTATGGTAGAGCTGCGGCGCCACGAGAGCTGTTGCAGCAGCCGCCTCAGCAGGCCATTGCTGCTGCAGTTGCTGCTGCAGCTGCTGAAGTTGCTGCTGATGCTTCTGCAGCTCCTGCTTCTCTCCAAACCCTGCCCGTCGCTGCTGTTGCTGCTGCTGCTGCTGCGTCTGCTGCAAAGGCCGCCCCCGTCACCGAAGCTGCTGCTGCTGCTTGGCCAGCCGCTGCTTTGCTTCTCGCTGCATCCAGAAGCCTTTGCTGCGGCTGCTGTTGCTGCTGTTGCTGCTGCTGCTGCGCGGTACTTAGTGAGACGCAGCCCCAAAGAATGCAAGTACGCTAGTAAGCGGCAGCGAGAAGCCAACTGACACCACTGCTGCTGCTGCGCAGCGGCAGCAGCAGCTGGTGCTGCAGCTGTTGCTGCGCTGGCTCTTCTGCTGCTGCTGCAGCTGCTGCTGCAGTTGCTGCTGCTGTCCTCAATGTCCGTCAGAAATGTCGGAGGCGCCGCTGCGCAGGGGTAGCGGGGCTGAAGCCGCTCCCTTTCCATCGGCTGCTGCTGCTGCTGCTGTTGCTGCTGCTGCTGCTGCTGGAGCAGCAACAGCTGGCGTTGCGGTACAGTGTCCCACCGGGTCCCAAAGAAGCAGCAGCGTCCTGCTTCTACAGATTGCTGCTGCTGCAGCTACCTTGCTGCTGTTTTCTCCACCCTTGTCGCTCCCCACGACTGCTGCTGCTGCTGCTGTCGTTGCGGTTGTTGTAGCTGCTGCTGCTGCTGCTATTGATGATACTGCTGCTCACCCCTGCCAACAACAGCTGCAGTACAGCTGTATGCCCGGCTGCGCCTGCTGCTTCCAGAGACCGAAACCACCTTCTAAATCTGCTGTTGCTGCTGCTACTGCTGCTGCTGCCGTTGCTCCTGCTGCTGCTGCTGCTGCTCTTGCTGCTGCTGTTTTGAAGCGGCGTGTCTACAAAGCAGCGCAGCCCGAAGAAAGCCTTCAGCTGCACCAGCAGCAGCAGCTGCTGCAGTTACTACTGCTGCCGTCGTTGGCCTACAGTGGGGAGCGCCTTACGTGCAGCTGCTGTTGCTGTTGCTGTTGCTGCTGCAGCAGAAGGCACGACTGCGTTGGAAGCAGGGAAGAGCAGCTGCTGCTCCTGAAACAGATATATTTCAGACAAAGCTCGTACAAAAATGCCAGTGTCGCAGTATTTTTTGCTGCGCATGTAGTGTACCAGCAGCAGCAGCAGCAGCAACAGCAACGCCAGCAGCAGCAGCATCGGCTGCAGTCCGTGCCTCGCTGCGGGCGCCGCCCCACAGGAGGCGCAGCAGCAGCAGCACATCGGACCCATCTTATTAATGTGTTATTCCATTGTTGTCAACATTTGAATTCGCTGCGAAATTCAGCAGCAGCAGCAGCTGCTGCTGCTGCTGCTGCTGTTGCTGCTTTTATCAGTAGATCTGGCACACGCTCACTCAAGCCCAGCCGCAGCCGCAGCTGCAGCAGCAGCAAAAAAGTTTAATAGCGTACTTTTCAGCAGCAAACGCTTAAGCAGCAGCAGCAGCAACACAATACCTACTACTGCTGCTGCTGCTGCCTACCAGGTAGAAGCTGCGCCCGCCCTCGAGATTCCATGCCGTGTTCTGCTGCTGCAGCCGCTGCTGCTGCTGCTGTTAAAGGCGTAGCAGGACCACGAGCAGCAGCAGCAGCAGCACGAGCAGCTGCAGCAACCAGGGCTGCTGCAGCGGGACGAAGATTCCCCAGAAGGCAGCGTCCGGCTGCTGCTGCTGATGCTTCTGCTGCTGCTCCTCGTGTCAAACAGCAACAGCAAGAGCAGCCGCAGCAGCAAAATTCCCCTTCCCCTTTTCATTTGCATGGCCTAAATAGCCATGCTCGCACGAGCCGGCTGCTGCTGGTGCAGCAGCAGCTAAATGCAGCAGCAGCAACAGCAGCAACAGGCCCCCCTGCTGCGCACTTGCAGCAGAAACGCGCAATCTCTTTCATTCCTCGGTGGAAATTATCTCAGCAGCGGCAGCAGCAACAGCAGCAGCAGCAGCAGCAGACAGGGGCTCCATTCACCGAGGAAGAACAAGCAGCTGGCCACAACGAGAGCAGCAGCAGCAGCAGCAGCAGCAACGGTAGCAGTGAGCGCGCCGCTGACGCAAACCATTCAGCAGCTCCTGAGAACGCTCAGGAGCAGCAGCAGCAAGCAGCGGCAGCAGCAGGCAGTGAACCAGCAGCAGACGCACCAAATAGCAGCACCAGCAGCAGCAGCAGTAGCAGCAGTAGCAGCAACAGCAGCTGGCAGGGGTTGACAGATCGTTTGCTGCCTTTGCGTCGCTCCGCAGCTGCAGCTGCTGATGCTGCAGCAGCAGGTACCGCTGCAGCAGATGCTGCTACAGCAGCATCTGCTGCAGCGGGTGCTGCTGTGGCAAGGAGTCGCGCGGCAAGGTCTGCCTCCCATGCAGCAGAAGCAGCAGCAGCAGAGGCAGCAGCAGCAGCAGCAGCCGCAGACCCAGCAGCAAAAGAACAAGCTGCTGCGGCTGGGCAGCATGCAGCGCGGATCCCTGAAGCGGTGCCCAGATCAGCAGCAGCAGCAGGAGGAGCAGCAGCAGCAGCAGCAGGAGCCCCGTTAGGTGCTGCAGCTGCTTGGCGGCAGCCGCAGCAGCTGCAGCAAGAGCTGCTGCATTTGCTGCAGCGAGCAGCAGCACTTGAACGCAGCATTGTGAACAACAGGAGGAAGCCCCTTGTGCTGATACTAGCGGGGGCAGGTAAGAGGCGCTGCTGCTGCTGCTGCAGTTGCTGCTGCTGCTGCTGTTGCTGCTGCTGCTGCTGGAGGCTTGGACTTGCTGCGTCCCCAGCGCTCCGATGCTCCGCTTGCTGCTGCTGCTGCTGCTGCTGCTGTCTTGAGTTTGCTGCGGCCCCCGCACCTCAGTGCCCTTCCTGCTGGTGGCGTTGCTTCTGCTGCTGCTGCTGCAGCTGCTGTTGCTGCTGCTGCAGTGGTGGCCCAGTGGGAGCGGGTGCGGCGGCGCGTGGGGATTGAAGGGGCCGAAGTTATCAAAGAGGGAATGAAGAGTCAGCAGCTGCAGTTCACAGGTCAGCAGCAAACCTGCTGCTGCTGCTGCTGCTGCTGTTGCTGCTGCTGCTGCTGCTTGCGTCTCGCTTGCTGCTGCTACCGCTGTCTCCTTCTGTTCCTTTTTAGTATCCCTTTCGCCTTCTTCTTTTGTCCCTTTTTTCTGCTTGGGCCTCCTCTTTTGTGTTGCTGCTCTTGCTGCTGCTGTTGCTGCTGCTGCTTCTGCTGCTATTGCTACTGCTGCAATGAGCGCTGTGTTTCTGGTGTATCTGTAGCTGCGGAGTTCTCCAAGCAGCTGCTAGACGATATACTTGCAGACAAAAACGTAAGCAGCAGCAGCAGCAGCAGCAGCGGCAGCAGCAACAGCAGTAGCAACAGGAGCAGCAGCAGCCAAAGCAACTGCAAAAGCAGCAGCAGCAGCAGCAATATCAGCAGCACCAGTGCTGGCAGCGTCGCAAACAGTTCTCACAGCAGCAGCAGCAGCAGCAACAGCAGCAACAGCAGCAAGGGGATTGCGTGTTTGCTGCTGCGTGTGGGGTGCATGTGCAGCTGCAGCAGCAAGCCAGCCGGTGGCTGCTGTCTTTTCTGGAAGACAACAGAGAAGCTTTTGCTGCTGCTCTTTCGGGTTTGCTGCAGACGGACGTGCTGCAGCAGTCCGTCTACGCTTTGGCCCTCAACCTCCTCAAGTCAGCTGCTGCTGCTGCGGCTGCTGCTGCTGCTGCTGCTGCTGCTGCTGCTGCTGTCTCTCATATCTCCCATTGTTTTCACCCTTCAGTAGTTATCTTTAGCTTCGCCTCTGTCTCTTTTTTGTTGGTTGTCTTCCCCCTCGTTCTGCTGCCTCCCCACGTCTTTCTTCTGCTGCTGCTGCTGCTGCTGCTGCTGCTGCTGCTGTGTGCAGTTATTTGTCCACCAATGAGGCAGCACAAAAGAGCATCTCCGACTTGCTGGTCTATGCCATATTCCTGTGAGTCTTCAACTTGCTGCTGCTGATGCTGCTCGTGCTGTTGCCGCTGCTGCTGCTGCTGCTGCAGCTTCTGCTGCTGCTGCTGCAGCTTGTGCTGCTGCCGTGTGTCTGTCTCTTCTATCTTTTTTGCTTTTTAGTGTCGTTTCATTTGCAGCACTGTGTTTATTTATTTTCCTTTTATTTATTTATTTGTTATTAAATCTTTTTATACTTTTTTTTACTTTTTTGCATTTATTTATTTTCTTTTTGCTGCAGCCCTTCAGCCCAAACTGCTGCTGCTCTTTGGATCTCTTCAGTCTTCAGCAGACAAGACGTAGCAGAAGCAGCGCGGACTTTTGTGTACGTTGCTGCTGCTGCTGCTGCTGTTGCTGGTATTGCTCCTGCAGCTGCTGCTACTGCTGCAGCTCTTGCTGGTGCTCTTACTGCTGCTGCTTTTGCTGGCGCTGCTGCTGTTGCTGCTGCTGCTGTTGCTTCCCTGTTGTTAAAGTCGCTGCAGCTACTGCAGGTAATAGTGTGTGCGTTCTCGCTGCTGCTGCTGCCGCTGCTGCTGCTGCTGCTGCGTTGTGATTTTTGCTGCAGTGCCAATGAAGTTCTAAACAACTCTTATTTGTATGACCAGCTTTGCCTGACTGTGAGCAGCAGAAAAACTTTGTCTGCTTCTAGATTCTGCTGCTGCTGCTGCTGCTGCTGGCATGCTGCAGCAGCCGCTGTTGCTGCTGGGCCTGCCCCTCGCTGAGTTCGCACATGCATTGTAGATTTCATCATCGAAGTGGCAGCAGCTGCAGCAACTGCAACAGCAGCAGCAACAGCAGCAGCAACAGCAGCAGCAGCAAATGTCTTGTTTGCTTCGCAGCTGGCCCGGGCCTCGTGGGACGTTTTGCAAATGGAAACAACAACTATCTTATCTCGAGATGTAGTCATGCAGGTCCTGCTGCTGTTGCTGCTGCTGCTGTTGCTGCTGCTGCTTATGTTCTTGTTGCTTCTGTTGCTGCTGCTTCTGTTGCTGCTGCTGTCAACCATGGCTATTCTTGTTGCTATCGTTGGCGTTGAAAGAGATGCTGCTGTGTGTCGTTTATGTGGTTGCTGTTGCTGCTGTTGCTGCTGCTGCTGCAGGTGCTGAAGGACCCTGAGCTGCAGGACTACGCGACTACGCTGCTGTGGCAGATATTCAAATCTGTGTTGCAGCTACGCTGGTACGTCAACAGCAGCAGCAGCAGCAGCAGCAAAAACAGCAGCAGCAGCAGCAAAGGCAGCAGCAGCAGCAAACGTAGCGGCAGCTTGCTGGGTCCAGTGCATGCGCTACTGCTGCTGCTGCTGCTGCTATTTTGGTTTCTTGCTTTTGGCACAGGCTCGGAAATCGCAGCAGCAACAGCAGCAGCAGCGAGCCGTCAGCAGCAACAGCAGCAGCAGAAGCTGGCCCGTCATCTTCACAGCAGGCAGCTGCAGCAAGCGAAGAGGCACTTGCTGCTGCTGGTGCTGGTCCCGAGCGGCTGCAGCAGCTGCTGCTGCTAGATGATTTGCTGCTGCAGTACGGCGACAGCAGCGGACTCGCCAACGGAGGTAAGCTGTTCTTCCTGTTGCTGCTGCGGTTTCAACGTCTGCTGCTGCTGCTGCTGCAGTTTGCGCTGCTGCTGCTGCAGCTCCGACTGCAAGCGCCCACAGTTATGCTGCCTTTTTGGGTGTATGCTGAGGTGCTGCTGCAGAGGCTGCTCTGCTGCAGCAGCTGCGCCTGGGGCTCAAGAGCCGCATAACAGCAGCGCAGCAGCAACAGCAACAGCAGCAACAGCAGCAGCAACAGCAGCAGCAGCAGGACACTCCGCCTAGAGACGTAGACGAAACTGCTGGCGCTCCAGGCAGCGATGGCTCGAGGGAACAGGAGCAGCAGCAGCAGGAACAGCAGCAGCAAGCAGAGCGGCAGCAGCAGGACCAGCAGCAGCACGAGCAGAAGCAGCAGGAACAGCAGCAGCAGCAGCAGCAGCTAGCCTGTCAAGAGACAGAGACAGATCATTCCGAAGATAAGAGCGAACTGAACGAGCAGCAGCTGCATCAGGAACAGCAGCAGCAGCAGCAGGATGCGCAGCAGACTGCTAAGGAAGGGCAACAGGAAGATTCTATTCAGCAGCAGCAGCAGCAGCACGTAGGCAGTAAGGACGTACTGCAGCTGATTCAGCAGCAGCACTTGGATGCTGCGGAGCAGCTGCTCGAAACAGACAGGCAAGGACTGCAGCAGCAGCAGCAGCAGCAGCAGCAGCCTGGAAAGACAGAAGCAGCAGCAGCAGCGTCTGCCACTGTTTCTGCGGGAGCTGCAGCAGAAGCAGAAGCAGCAGCAGCAGCAGAAGCAGCAGCAGCAGCAGAAGCAGCAGCAGCAGCAGCGGAAAACTTAACGGGCCAGAGGGAATCTACTGCTTCGAAGCAAGACGACAGCGGCCCTGCAGCAGCTATATTACAGGCTGCTGCAGCAGCTGCTGCTGCTGCTGCTGCGCCATCTTCCGAAGGAGGTCCAGGTGCTGCAGCTTCTGAAGCAGAGACAGCAGCAACAGCAGCAAGTGCAGCAGCAGCAGCAGCAAAAGCTGCTCTCATCTCCGTCGGCGCGGCGCTGCGGCGGGCAGGCCTGCGGGCGTTTCAGGGGACAGCAGCAGCAGCACATGCTGCTGCTGCTGCTGTGTCACTTTTGGCTTATGCGTCGGAGCTGGATCTGCTGCTGCAGCAGCTGGAAGAAGACGAGGAGCAGCAGCTGCAGCAGCAGCAGGACTTGCTGCTGCTGCAGCAGCACGGAGGAGCTGCAAGCGAGCCCGCAGGAGCTGCTGCTGAGCTCCGTCAGCTGGCAGCAGCAGCGTGGGCGATGATTAGGGCACAGGCTCATTTGCTGCTGCTGCAAAGGCACAGCAGCAGCAGCAGCAACAACAGAAACACCAGCAGCAGCAGCAGCAACGAGCAGACAGGAGAGCTCCAGTAACAGCAAAAGCAGCAGGAGCAGCAGCCGCTGCAGCTGTTTGCCCCGGAGGAATCTCTTTACTGGCAGCAAATTAGTAATCCTTTGCTTCCCTAAGCTGCAGCAGCAGGAGCAGCAGCAATAACACAGGGCTAAGACCTCCTTCTGCTTCTTCTGCCGCTGCTGCTGTCGACAGCAGCAGCAGCAGCGGCGGCAGCGTGATAGAAAACTGTAGGGCTGCAGCGTTTGGCAGTAGTTAGCCCCGTCTGCAGCTGCTGCTGCTGCTGCAACAGCAGCCGCAGCTGCAGCAGCATTTGTATGGGGCCCCCGGGGTTCCTAAACAGCAGGGGCCCCCTCTGGATTTTTCTTCAGAATTTTGGCAGTTTGTTAATTGTGTCTTTGTGCAGCAGCAAAAACAGAATTGATGGAAAATAGAATAACTGAAATTAAAAAAATGCAGAAGTATAAAAAATGGAAAAGGTTTTGAAATAAACTTTTGATTGAATAGTTTATACAAATTAATGAAGGAAATGCGCAGATATGCTGCAGCCTCAATGCTGCTGCGGCATCTGCGCGCTGCTGCAGCAAATGCATGCTGCAGCAGAAGCAGCGGCAGCAGAAGCAGCAGCAGCAGCAGCAGCAGCAGCAACGCAAGCGCTCTCGCGAGTCCAAATCGAAAAGAGCATAAAATGCAAAAATAAATTCAAATACAAATTGAATTGTAAATTCAAAAGGAAGTAGGAAAGGAATTAATTGATTCACCAGCAGGTGTACGTACACCCGAATCTCAGTTGCAGCAGCAGAAAAAGCAGAAAGTGCTTTATGCAAAAATAAATAAATAAATAAATACATAAATAAATATATAAATATATAAATATATATTGTAAAACGACCGGTAGATCAATATAAATGTAGAAAAACAAAGTGGCAAAGTGGCAAATGAAGAAACAAGAATAATAAACAAGTAAATAATTGGGCAGTAAATAAGTAAACAAATAACCAATAACACAAGTAAATAAATAAATTAATTAATTAATAATAAATAAATAAATATCTAAATGAATACGATTAATTGATTAGTTAAAATAGATAAGTAAATAAATGGATGTGAGACAGCGAACAAACAAAATGCGAAAAAGTGGAGATAATAGAAAAAGGAGAAAAAGATTAAATTAAATGAATCAATAAATGAAAAAAATGTCATTTAATTCTTTTATTGAAATTTATTTTCCTTCGATTTCTGTCATTTTAATTTCTTTATTTTAATTCCTTTTGTTTTTATTTCTTTTATTTCAAAAGGGTAAAGAGTCCAAGAAAAGAAATAAAGAAGCAGAAAAGCACTTTATTCATTTAATTTCTTTTCTTATCCTTCTTATTTTATTTTTTTGTACTATTCTTGTTCTATTGTTTCTCTCTTTCCCTTTTTTGTTTCTTTTCTGTTTGTGGAAGGAAAGAAAAAGAGCCAAAAAAGAAAAGGACAAAAAACAAAATAAATAAATAAATACATAAGAATAAAAAGTCTGCAGCGCTTTTGAAGTCCACGTACACCTAAATAACGCTTGTTCTTCATTTTTTAATTTCTCTTTTAAATCTTTTATTTCTTTTTGAAAAGTAAAACAAAAAACGAAAGCAGAAAAAGATTAAAAGGAGACAAGGACATAAATGAGAGACAAAAGGGATAGAAGAATCAAAAAAGGGAAAGAGAGATAAAGTAAAAGGAGAAAAAAGCCAAAGAAAAAGAAGTAAAAGCACAAACGGAAAAGAAAAAGAAACAACAAAAAAGATAAGAAGATAGAGAAGATAAAAGAGACAAAAGGGGAGATACGGAGAGGAGTAAAAGAGTCAAAAGGAGACAAAAACAAGGAGAAAAGAATTAAAAAAAAACTAGAAAAAAGAATTAAAAAAGATAGAAGTAAAACAAAAAGTAAGGCCCCCGTGGGGCTGGTGGTGTAGGGGTATCACGTTCGCTTCGCATGCGAAAGGTCCCGGGTTCAATTCCCGGCTAGTCCACTTTTTGATTTACATAACTTAATTGTTATGAAATTTTGACCTTTTAGTTCTTTTAATTGTTTTCACTGTTTTATTTGTTTCAACAACTTTAATTAATTTAATTGATTTAACTGATTTAATTGATTTAATTGATTTAATTCATTTAATTCATTTAATTGATTTAGTTGTTTCAACTGTTTTAAATGTTTGGATTGTTTCATTTGTTTTGAATGCTTTGACTGCCTAAATCAAATAAATGGATTTAATAAGCTGAATCAATTAAATCAATCAAATCAATTAAATCAATTAAATCGGTTAAATAGATTGGATGATTAAAATCAAATAAATATGGTAGTTCAATTATTCAATTAATTTGATTAAATTATTTTAATTTTTAAATTGTTTTAACTAAATTTGAGAACTCTTCTTAAATTCAAGTTTCTACATTTTCCTTTTTGTTCGTGCAACCAGGTGTAACGACAGTGCTATTAGTTCATGATTTATTTATTTATTCTATTTATTAATTTATTTACTTGTTTGTTTGTTTACTTGTTTATTACATTTTAATTTATTTATGTACTTATTTGTTTATTATTTTTTTATTCATAAACTCTTCTCGCTCTTTGTTTTGTGCATGCAGCCGCACACAACTCATATAAAAGTCCATTTTGCAGATGAACAAAAAACAATGAAATATTTAAATTTAATTCTTTTTTTTTAAATGTCCAATCGCACGTACAGTTGCTGGTGCTGCTCAGGTGTACGTACACCTGAACGCCCCCATTTTGCATGCAAGGAAGCAAATTTATTTTTCAATATTTTGTATATATAAATATATATTACATTGAGAAATCCTTGCATGTGCATGCACATTTAAACAACTAATTTTTTTATTTCTTAATATTTGTTTCCTCCCCAAAGAGGGCCCCTAAG